AAAATAAAATAAAATAAAATAAAATAAAATAATAAAATAAAATAATAAAATAAAATAAAATAAAATAAAATACTCTGTTCCCTTACCTGGATTTGATGTACTAGTCCTGAGATAAAGACCTTTTCCTTATTCTCACCAATCACACCAAATCGCACGTATGCTGTGCCGGTGACCCCTTTCCCATAGAAAAAACTGTTGGGGAAGCCAAGAAAAGAAAAAGAAAAAAAAATATCACATGATTAACTTTGGAATAAAAGCTAAGGAAAAAAAATAATCCTCCTGCTACAGAGCTTCATCTAATCCACAGCCTGAATTGATCTTTCTGGTTGATTATGTGCCATCACAGCAACCACACCGTTAGATTTTCTCCATGAGGCTCTCTCCCTAACCTGGTCCTTCAGGCCTTGGAACTGTGTCTCTCCATCCCCACTTATAACTGAGTCTGTCCACCCCCTTTGGTTGCTCTCTTCTTCTCTTCCCTTCTACCTCCTTTCCCAGCGTTAGAACCTTTCGGCTGGAGAGTTAGCATTAGGCCCTCTGACTGCTGGTGATTTTTTTTTTAACTAAACAATGTTATACCACACTCCCTTTTGCAGTATAATCTTTAATATACCCAAGAACAAGACACTAGAAATATTAACCTTCCCTTCCCTTCTCTTCTATCAATCCACACACCTTCTTCCTTTCCTTTCCTTTCCCTTTCTCTTTCCCTTCCTTCCTTCCTTTCCTCCCTCCCTCCCTCCTCTTCCCCTCCCCTCCACCCTCCCTTTCCCCCTTCCCCTTCCCTTCCTTTCCTTTCCTTTCCCTTGCCCCCTTCCCCTCCCCTCCCCTCTACTCCCCTCTCACACTCCACTATGTTGTCACTGAAAAATCTGAGAACCTTCTGACCTATTTTGCATGTTTTTTTCCCCTATGCTTCTAGTGACAATGGCAATTCAGCTCCCCGAAGGAAAAAAAACGCCTTCATTTCATGCCCGCGGTTGTCACTTGCCTTATTTTGGATTGCGGCTATCTCAAAAACTTTAGCAGTTTGAGCGTATCACAGTTAATGAATCCACTGAATAAGAAGGAGTTGCTTACTTAGCCTGAATATTAATTTGCAAGTCAGGTGTTTGCTGTCCGGTGACCAGGATGTATTTCTGGTCTGGGACAATCTTCACTTCGAAATGAGGCAGGACTGATGAGAGAAAGGAAGAGATATAAATTTGAGCGTCACCACCTTCCAATCTGTATCTTGGATCTGCTTAAAAACAATATCTTGCTCCTGTTTCTGTTCAAGCAGAAAACCATGCCCTAATCAAGGAACAATCAAGGAGAAAATCACACACACACACACACACACACATCCAATAACACCGGCAGGGCAAGCTACTGTGTGTAAGCAGGGAGCAAACCTCACACTCACTAGCACTGATGATGTTACCTAGTCAGGTAATGAAATGCCTGCAAGCAAAAACAATCAAATTCAGAGAGCATCACAGTCTCCACAGTGCAGTCTTGGGCTACACATATATTCTCTTCTTTAATGAAAAAGTTTAATGAAAAGTTTAATGAAAAGAAAGACTAGGGGGGACATGATAGCAATGTTCCAATATCTAAGGGGCTGCTACAAAGAAGAGGGGGTCAATTTATTTTCTAAAGCATCTGAAGGTACGAGAAGAAGGAACGGATGGAAATTCACCAAGGAGAGAAGCAACTTAGAATTAAAGAAAAATTTCCCGACAGTCAGAACAATTAACCAGAGGAACGACTTACCTCCAGAGGTTGTGGTTTCTCCAACACTAGAGGGTTTTATAATAATAATAATAATAATAATAAAGTTGGAAGGGACCTTGGAGATCATCTAGTCCAACCCCCTGCTCAGGCAGGAAACCCTATACCATTTCGGAAAAATAGCTGTCCAGTCTCTTCTTTAAAACTTCCAGTGTTGGAGCATTCACCTCTTCTGGAGGCAGGTTGTTCCACTGGTTAATTGTTCTAACTGTCAGGAAGTTTCTCCTTAGTTCTAGGTTGCTTCTCTCCTTGATTAGTTTCCATCCGTTGCTTCTTGTCCTGCCTTCAGGCGCTTTGGAAAATAGCTTGACTCCCTCTTCTTTGTGGCAGCTCCTGAGATACTGGAACACTGCTATCATGTCCCCCCTCGTCCTTCTCTTCGTTAAACTAGACATACCCAATTCCAGCAGCCGTTCCTTATATGCTTTAGCCTCCAGTCCCCTAATCATCTTTGTTGCTCTTCTCTGTATTCTTTCTAGAGTCTCAACATCTTTTTTTACATCTTGGTGACCAAAACTGGATGCAGTATTCCAAGTGTGGCCTTACCAAGGCATTGTAAAGTGGTATTGACACTTCACGTGATCTTGATTCTATCCCTCTGTTAATGCAGCCTAGCACTGTGTTGGCTTTTTGGGCAGCTGCAGCACACTGCTGGCTCATATTTAAGTGATTGTCCACTAGGACTCCGAGGTCCCTCTCACAGTTAAGTAGAGATTGGACAGCCATTTGTCCGGATTGATATAGGGGGTTGGACTAGAAGACCTCCTAGGTCCCTTCCAACTCTGCTCTTTTGTTATTCTCTTCTATTGGGACAGCACCATTTGCTGGCATCGTATGTGGGGCAGGATAGGAGTTGCCAGTGGGAGCAATAGATTTTATGGTGATACAGATTTCTGCCAGCTCAGGGTCTGGAGGTTAGCAGAGCACTTTAATGTGCCATTAAAGTATATTTGGGAACAGAACCAGGATGCCGCTATCTCAGAACGTACCATATTTTTTCACTTCAAACTCTGTGGTTGTGTTAAAGCTCTGCCCGTGGGCAAAGTTGGCCGTGATGGTCCAAATGCCAGGCCTGAAATAGGAGAGGAACAAGAACAGAAGGAAACCTTAGCTGGTGCACAGAAATTGCAGGGTCTGAAAAACCACACCCCCACGCTCCCATGCTGCACAGCAAGAGGGCCAAAGCAGATATGCAAAGTCTGCTTGTGCTGCTGGCTAGAAACCTGGTAAAAGGTAGTCCTTGACTTACATTCATAATTGAGCCTGGAATTACACCAGCCCGCCACTTGCGCGAGTTGAGCTGTGCACTTGCGCATGCATGCCGGCCCACTGCTCGTGAGGCCCAGTTCCAAATAGGCCACGGCTCAGATGTGGGCTGCGGCCTAGGCAGTGCTGGGATTCTGCCGGTTCGCACCACTTCGGCAGAACCGGTAGTTAATTTTTGGTTGCCCAGGCTCAGAATGAACTTCCGGAAGTGGCATCCACACAGAGAACCGGTTGTTCACATATTTGAATCCCACCACTGGGCCCAGAGGTTCGGGACCTTTGCCTTAGATCAGGGGACCCCAACCTATTGGCTACCTGGCCGTGTGAGTGGCTGGCTGGTGCACGTGTGTGCGGGCGTTCACAGCCCCACTCGCACGAGCGTTGCCGTGAGTGTCACAGGCGTTTGTGGCCCTACTCATGCAAGCAATGGGTGTTCGTGCATGTGCACCCACGCATGCTTGCATTCACCCCCCCCAAAACCAGCCCTTCTTTCCCCCCTCCCCTTGCTCCAGGCCGCCAACCCTGACCTAGATAACACAAACACTGGGGATTTCCCAAACTCAGGTAGTTTTGTGACAGTGAATCTGAATCTGTTTCTCCCCATTCAAGCCCGAAAAGTCTCCTGGCATAATAACTCGAATGGGGCAACTAGAATGCCAAATTAAATAGTAGACTTGGTTAAATACATCTGAAATAATTGCAGTTAGAACTGCCAGACCAGAGTTTTAAAAAAAAATCCCAATTTCACCCTTCAACATCACTGCATTTGTGTTTGGGGAAAAGCTGAAAGTAGCAATGTTTAGTGAAACTTACTCAGCAATGTCAGGAATTGACAGATGGTCATTTATGACAGATTTAAGTGCGCTCCGCTCAATTTTCTTGACCTGAAATCCCCGTGGATTCTGAAGGAGTGAAACAAGAACACAGTGAGTGAATTTCATAAAACAAATGGTGTTAAAAGTAGCAAATCACCCCATGTATAATGATCCAATTAGTGTTGGATATATATATGTTGGATATATATATGTTTTCGTAGATTTTCACGGGTACGGGTATGCAGGTCTTGGCGTATTCGGGTCTTTTCCCGTGTAAGATTGAGAGTATATAAAATGTTTTATCAGGTTCTGCTTCACTGCATTTTAATTGAGCCACTTGCTTATTACCTTCACAGTGATAACAACGAGATTATTGGTTGGACGTAACTTGTGATCCAGAGGGAAGACTCGGAAGTTCACTGGAATAAAAGAAGGAAAGTGGAGTGTGAGAGAATGAAGGAAGCGAGGTGCTAAGGCAAATCCAAAACCCACCTTACAGGGTTGTTGTAGTGGGGAAAATGAGAGGTTGGGATCATTAAGCACTGTATGTACACCACCTTGAGTTGACCTGGAGAGTTATTAATGACAACCAATTTGGTCTACTGGTTAGGACACCAGGCTAGAGCCAGGAGACTGTGAGTTCTAGTCCTGCCTCAGCCAAGAAAGCCAGCGGACTGACTTTGGCCCAGTCGCTCTCTCTCAGCCCAACCTACCTCACAGGGTTGGTGTTGTGAGGAAAATAGGAGGAGGAAAGAGTATTGTGTGTGTTTGCAACCTTGACTGGCGAAAAAAAATAAAGGCAGGCTATAAATGAATAAATAAATCATATCATGTTGAGTAACACAGGTAGTCCTCGACTTACAACCACAATGGAGTCCAAAATTTTGACTACTAAGCGAGACAGTTGTTAAGTGAATTCCATTTTAGGAGCTTTCTTGCCACAGCTATTAATCACTGCAGTTGTTAAATTAGTAGAATAGAATAGAATAGAATAGAATAGAATAGAATAGAATAGAATAGAATAGATTCTATATTCTATATTCTATATTCTATATTCTATATTCTATATTCTATATTCTATATTCTATATTCTATATTCTATATTCTATTCAATAGAATATAGCAGTGGTGGCGAACCTATGGCACGGGTGCCAGAGGCGGCACTCAGAGCCCTCTCTGTGGGCACGCGTGTCGTCGCCCCAGTCCTAGGCCTTCAGCTGGGTTTTATAAAACCTTTTCGGTTTAGGCCTCTGCCGCCATGTGCAAAAAAAAAAAGGTTCAATCAATCAATTTCAACTTCTCGCGGGAAAAAAAAAGTTCTTGCAAAGTTGGAATTGATTGATTGAACTTTTTAGTCCCACCCAGTCTGCTGTTACCACAGCAGCCACGCCCACCCAATTGGCCACACCCAGCCAATGGGCCACACCCACCCGGCACTCGACGATGCATAAGTGGGTTTTGGGTTGCAGTTTGGGCACTCAGTCTCTAAAAGGTTCGCCATCACTGGAATATAGAATATAGAATATAGAATATAGAATATAGAATATAGAATATAGAATATAGAATATAGAATATAGAATATAGAATATAGAATATAGAATATAGAATATAGAATAGAATAGAATAGAATAGAATAGAATAGAATAGAATAGAAGAGCTGGAAGGGACCTTGGAGGTCTTCTAGTCCAGCCCCCTGCTCGAGCAGGAGAACCTATACCATTTTAGACAAGTGACAAGCCTCTTCTTAAAAGAACCCAGTTGTTAAGTAAATCTGTCTTCTCCCTTGACTTTCCTTGTAAGAAGGTTGCAAAAGGTGATCACATGACCCAAGGACACTGCAACCGTCATAAATATGAGTCAATTGCCAAGCGTCAGCATTTTGATCATGTGACCGCGGAGATGCTGTAATGGTGTGAAAAACAGTCGTAAGTCACTGTTTTCAGTGCTGTTGTAGCTTTGGTCACTAAATGAGCAGTTGTAGATCGAGGACTACCTGTAACTGCACAACTTCGGTAACTGGAAAGTGAATATATATTTCTACCAGTATTTACCTGTATAAGGTGCATCATTGTTAAATAAAGTTTTTTTAAAAAACAGCAACAGGGTAAACGAAAAGAACAGAGCGTAGTGTATGTGAGGAAGGAACAGGAGCTGGGCTCACCCTTTTGCCGGGGGGTGTAAATGGGCTTGTCCGTCTGTAGCAAGAGGTACCCCTCTCGTGCGCTCCAACGCAGGTTGAGGGTTTGAATGTTCCTGGGGGTGTTGAGCTGAGAACTGTGGGCCACAAGTTGGATGTAGCGGTTTCGCCGCTGGGTGCTCAAGCCACAAAAGTCAAAAAGACGCTGTGTCACCTGCACAAATGAAAAACAGTTAGGTCGGAGAGCGAACGATACTTTCTGGAAGCAAGAGAACAGATAACGTAGCATTATACATCGTCAGAGAAATCCTGATATCAAAATGAGGAGAGGGGCTTTCCCCACCCTATCTGTTCCTTTTGCGTGTGCATCGCGTGATAAGCAAAGCCACAAAACCTTATAAAAGGATATTTCATATGTTCACGGTACCCACTTAAGGGGTAGGCAACCTTGGCTCTTTTATGACTCGTGGACTTCAACTCCCAGAATCCCTGAGCCAGCCATGCTGAGGGGAAAGGGAGAGGTTTCCAAGCTGAGCTATGCTGGCTCAGGAATTCTGGGAGCTGAAGTCCACGAGTCATAAAAGAGCCAAGGTTGCCTACCCCTGTACTACACCAAAAGGAGTCTGAAGGCAATCTTTTCTTTTTCTTTTTCCCCTCTATCCTGCCCTTCTCTGTCTTCTCCTTTTCCTCCCTTATTTCCCTTTTTTTCCTTTCTACTTCTGTGTTTTGTATTTCGATAAACTAATAACATAATTAAAAATCCAAAGAGTCAATTGCAGAGTTTCCTATACCATAGCCCGGTCTTTCTCAGCCTTGGTGAGTGTAAGCTGTATGGACTTCAACTCCCAGAATTCTCCAGCCACCTGGAGAATTTTTTGTTGCTATGCAAGATAGTTGTTAAGTGAATTTTGCCCCATTTTACGACCTTTCGTGCCACAGTTGTTAAGTGAATCACTGTAGCTGTTAAGTTAGCAACACGGTTGTTAAGTGAATTTGGCTTCCCCATTGATTTTGCTTTGTAAGAAGGTCACAAAATGTGATCACATGATCCCGGGACGCTGCAACCGTCATAAATATGAGTCAGTTGCCAAGCATCTGGATTTTGATCACGTGACTATGAGGACACTGCAATGGTTGTACGTGTGAAAAACCATCACAAGTCACCTTTTTCAGTGCCATTGTAACTTTGAACTGCTGTAAGTTGAGGACTATCTGCACATCATCAACGTTCACAGTGAGGGATCTCTGTTTCTGAATGTTTTAAGCTTTAAAAATCCATTAGTACAGTGAACAAATTTTTAGACTCAGAGTCTAATTCCTGCTTGGCAGCAAAATTGGTTTTGTTCACCCTAAAGAAGCTCGCAGGTGTTTTGCCAGAGTGCAGTTGGAAAATCCCTTTGTGGATTTTAGCATCCTGGGAAGAGAGATAAATCCCAGTGTAATAATCCTCATCTACAAAATACAGACGAAGTTAGACAATAAAAGCATTCAGAAAGATGCATGATATCTCTGTAAATGGCTGTTAGCCTTCATGTGAAAAGCAGAACTTTCCCCTTTATCACCGAACAGTGATCATTATGTCATTTTTTATTACCCCTTTACAGGAACTTCTGGCTATTTCAGGCAAGTGTTTCTCTTTTCATGTTTCCCAGACTTCCCCCCCAGATGTCCAATATATTCTTTTTTCCCATCAACTTCCTCCTTCAAGTTCTGCATTCAGGCTGGTACAGCGATTTTGACTTGTCAGCATCCAATCCGGAAAATAACAACAGATCTCAGTTCCATTTCTGTTCCTCGGCAATCTGTGTCTTGTCGGCCTCAGCACATTATTTCACAGACCATCTTAAGGGCAACAGCTGATCACTTGGCAAGCTGGTGTTTTCAGAAGTCCAGGAAGAACCTTACTGAACTCTGCTGCTAACTTTTAATTCTGGCTTGAAGAAAATGGTGGCTTGCTATATTTTTCCCAAACCAGGAACCGAAGAGGAAAGAAAAGGTGCATCTGAACTTGAGGATTTCATTATTTATATGTCAAACTAGCCAGGTCTTGTCTTAGCCTGGTTTTATAACAGAGTAAAAGCGTTGGAAGGGACCTTGGAGGTCTTCTATTCCAACCCTTCGCTCAAGCAGGGAACCCTGTACCATTTCAGACAAATGGCTGCCCAATCTCTTCTTAAAAACCTCCAATGATGAAGCATCCACAACTGTCAGGAAATTTTTCCTTAAATCCAGGTTGCTTCTCTCTTTGGTCAGTTTCCAACCCAGGGGTGTCGAACTCAATTTCACTGAGGGCCGCATCAGCATTGCGGTTGCCCTCGGAGGCCGGGTGGGTGCGGTCTACTGGGTGGGCATGGACAGCTCTACATCGTTCGCATCAAGGGTGCCTGTGGGGACCTGGGCAGGAGTGGGACAGATCTGAGGGTCTCTGGCAGAAGGGGGTGGGACCGGGGCAAGCGCCAAGGCATGGTGCATTTCTTCATTCCTCACAAAGGGTGACACCTCCCCAGCATGCACCCAGGGGGCAGGGACGACACAGCAGGGGCTGGTTCCTCGCTGTTTCTAGGAGCTAAGACTGAATGCGCTTCAGCATAGATGGCCACCACAAAATTGTACATTGGTTCCCGGCCGGCCTGGGCCAGGGCCAAGGCAGCAAGGGCTGTTCCCTCACTGTTTCCAGGATGGCTTCGCAGGCCACATTAAACCACTTCGCGGGCTGCATCCGGCCCCCGGGCCTTGTGTTTGACATGTCTGTTCCAACCATTGTTTCTTGTCCTGCCTTCAGGTGCTTTGGAGAATAGGTTGACACCCTCTGGTTTATGGCAGCAGTTTTGTTAAATCTGTCACAAAAGTAGAATTGAGATATTGCACTAAGAATTTGTGGCCCTTTTGTGGCCCTCAGAGCTCACTCTTGGCTATGCATCCGGAAATAAGAAACAAAATACACGCATTATGCTTCTGATTGGAAAAAAAATCAATATATTCCTTCACAGTTTCCCTCAAAGTACCAAACAAACAGAGAAGAAAACCGATTGAACATTGCCAAGCACTCAGATTGCGATCATGTGACATTGGGTGTTGTTGCAAATACCCATAAGCATGAAGACTGGTCGTTAAGTCACTTTTTTCAACGCCATCGTAATTTCAAAGAGTTCCTAAATGAACAGTCAATAAGGAAGGACTGTAGTTTTTAAGGAAAAGTGTTGTTTTTCATCCAAATCTTGTGTTCTAAAGCACAAGATCTGGTATCATAGAACAGGGGTCCCCAACCCCCAAGTCTGTGGACCAGTACCGGGCCGCACAAACAAGCAAAGCCCCATCCGTGGGATGCAGGCAGCACATAAAACCACACCCCCTCCGGTCTGTGGAAAAACGTCTCTCCAGGTAACCGGTCCCTGGTGCCCCAAAAGTTGAACACTTCTGTCATAGAACATGCTGAATCAGCTTTCTCTAGGGCAGGGGTAGGCAACCTTGGCTCTTTTATGACTCGTGGACTTCAACTCCTAGAATTCCTGAGCCAGCTGGCTCAGGAATTCTGGGAGTTGAAGTCCACGAGTCATAAAAGAGCCAAGGTTGCCTACTCCTGCCCTAGCCTGAGTATCCTCCAGATGGGTAGACTTTAACTCAGTGATGGCGAACCTTTTAGAGACCGAGTGCCCAAAAACTGGCCCCACCCCTGCTCCACTCCCTGCCCTGCCCCGCCCCCACCCCACCTGCCCGCAGGGCCACTCACTGCCTCCAGGGCCCGCTGCAGATTGCCCAGCAGCGCCATGGCGGCCACGCCCTCTGCCCGCACCCCGCAGCATCAACTGTGCACGATGGGGCGTGAGGGCAGAGTCTTGTCTACTCTGTCTGGCTGCCATGTCCTTGGCTGCACTGCTCTGCGTGGGCCACGCTCGGGGGCGACTCTCCTCCAGGGGGGCTGCTGGTGAGGAGGGGGTCACGGGGGAGGCAAGGCTGGGGCAACGGCATGTGTGCCCACAGAGAGGGCTCCGAGTGCCGCCTCTGGCACCCGTGCCATAGGTTCGCCACCGCTGCTTTAACTTCTCGAGCAGTGTTTCTCAATATTGGCAGCTTGAACATGTGTGGCTGGGGAATTCTGGGAGCTGAAATCCAGACATTTTGAAGTTGCTAAGACTGAGGAACACGGATCTGGAATTTCCAGCAGGGCCATTCAGAAAAGTTGTAGGAGTTTAAAGCTCACACATCTGGGGAAGGACCCCCCCCCCAGGCTGCGAGAGGGGACACCAAACCACCATCAAACAAATCCAATGATGGTTTAGCATTTCTTTTCTTTCCTGGGGGGGGGGACATGCAAAGTTCCCAGTTTCCTCTCTTACCTTCAAGGTCACATCTTGCACAAATTTTTTGGATGGATCAGAAGGCTTGGACGGAAGACTGAATGGTTTTTCTTCAGAACATTTTTTTCCAGTCAACTCATTTTGGAAAAAGACGTGCCCTGCGAGGTCCGAGGAAGCACCGTCAACCTGAAGCACAATCCGCACATCTGTTCCCACTGTCACCACACTGGGGGCAACCAGCACCAACCTGAAGCATTGGGAAAAGCAAGAATATTTCATAGTGAGGGCCATCGTTCCCTTCAATGCTTAGTTTTTACAAGCTCAACAAAAAAGGGGAAAAAATGGAAATTGGAAGATAAGACCAGAGAAGTCAAAACTAAGTAAGCCATATGGCTTAGCACTAAGTGTGGAGCCTAACCATGACCCACACCACATGGCTGGCATTTACACTAAGCAGGCCTCTGGCGGCTAACTCTGTGAGCATCCAAGATGTCTCCTGGGAGCGGTTGAGAACCCAAAGTCCCCTTAGGGCAGATGTGGCGTTGTGGCAAATTTTGTGGGACAAACTTTCAGTGGCATTGAGGGCCACCCTTAACATTCCTGGAGAACAGCTGAGTGCAGTGATGCAACATAACAACAACAACAAAAGCAACAATAACAATAATAATAATGTTGGAAGGGACCTTGGAGGTCATCTAGTCCAACCCCTGCTCAGGCAGGAAACCCTACACCATTTCAGACAAATGGCTGCCCAGTTGCTTCTTAAAAACTTCCAGTGTTGGAGCATTCACAGCTTCTGGAGGCAGGTTGTTCCACTGGTTAATTGTTCTAACTGACAGGAAATTTCTCTTTAGTTCTAGGTTGCTTCTCTCTTTGGTTAGTTTCCATCCGTTGCTTCTTGTCCTGCCTTCAGGTGCTTTGGAGAATAGCTTGACTCCCTCCTCTTTATGGCAGCCCCTGAGATATTGGAACACTGCTATCATGTCCCCCCTCGACCTTCTCTTCATTAGACTAGACATACCCAATTCCAGCAACTTCTCTGTACTCTTTCTAGAGTCTCAACATCTTTTTTACATCGTGGTGACCAAAACTGGATGCAGTATTCCAAGTGCGGCCTTACTAAGGCATTGTAAAGTGGTATTAACACTTCACGTGATCTTGATTCTGTCCCTCTGTTAATGCAGCCTAGCACTGTGTTGGCTTTTTTGGCAGCTGCAGCACACTGCTGGCTCATATTTAAGTGATTGTCCACTAGGACTCTGAGATCCCTCTCACAGTTGCTACTATTGAGGAATGTACCACCTATACCAGGGGTGTCAAACTCGCAACGTCATGTGATGTGTCGCAACGTATTGCGACTTTTTTTTCCATTGCCAGCAATGGGGTGGGCGCGGTTTCGGCATGATGCATCCGGCCCGCAGGCTGGTAGTTTGACACCCCTGACCTACACTATACCCATGCATTTGGTTTTTCTTGCCTAAATGTAGAACCTTGCCTTTTTCACCATTGAATTTCATTTTGTTAGATAGTGGTTCTATATTTCATTTTCATTTTCATTTTATTAAATTTATACCCCGCCCTTCTCCCGGAGGACTCAGGGCAGGGTATATTTGTTAGATCCATGGCTGGGACCAGGATCGACTGAGCTTTTACCTGGCTTTGGGATAGTATTTGCATGTTTTTGTCCCTATACTTTTTAAAGGACATCAAATTCTTACGCAATAGCTTTTGTGTACTCAGGAGGGAAGAAAGCAACTCAGTCATTTTCCATAATTAAAATGAACCACATTTGACATTTAATTGACCATTTACCAATTTAATTTCCACATTCACATTTTAACATTCACCAGTTCAACTTGGTGAGCTCTTGACAATTGCATTTGGTTTTATCACACTGAACAATTACACTAATCATCTTATCCTTATGTCAAGAAGACTTATTAAGGCATTGGTTGCAAGGCAACAAAGATCTTTAACAAAGCTCAGTTCTTACTTCGCTCCATTGAAAAACTTTCCCATTAGTTCTTACCCTTTATGTTTTCTTTGCTAACAAGAAAGCAATCTGTAAAAAGATAGGTCCTTTTAGCTCCATGGCTGCTCAGTTTACCAACAGCCTTTGATAAAGAAGTTAATCTAAGGCTTTTTGAAAATCCAAGCATACACTGTTGACCGAGTTACCTCCATTCATTCTCAAAAAAGCTCAGGAGATGGGTAAGGAAACAACAACTTTTAACTTTGCAGAATATATGCTGGTACTCTTATTTATTGATATTTCTTCTTTTTTAGCTGCCATAATCAAGAGATTCTTGACGTGTTGAAGTATCAACAATAAAATGTCTGCAGTAATTTTACACAGCTGTAAACAATAATTAAACACAGATAAGATCATAAAACACCCAATCAAAAAGTAATAAAAATATATAGTGATATCCTTTAGCAAGTTCCCCCCCCCTCTATGGCTTAGGAATTTTAAGTAAGTTTGGGGGACTTGGGGGGGGGTTATGGCGACTTGTTCTGTAGAGCTGACAATCACAGCAAAGATCAAGAAATAGGTGAGAAGACCTGTTTCTTGGAACCTCTTTGAAAAAGGAGAGGATGGGAGACTGCCCACGTGTGCTCTGGATGCCTGCGTCTCTCAAAGAGACCACAGTGGGTTTCTCTGGGTTTGAGCAACAAGAGACAATGAGATTAGCCATCTCACTCGCAATTGCTGTGGAGATTTTCCGAAATTGCCTATTAATTGTTGTTGTTAGTTGCGAAGTCGTGTCCGATCCATTGCGACCCCATGGACAACGTTCCTCCAGGCCTTCCTGTCCTCTACCATCTTCTGGAGTCCATTTAAGCTCACGCCTACTGCTTCAGTGACTCCATCCAGCCACCTCATTGTCTGTCATCCCCTTCTTCTCTTGCCCTCAATCTTTCCCAGCTTTAGGCTCTTCTCCAGTGAGTCCTTCCTTCTCATTAGGTGGCCAAAGTACTTGAGTTTCCACTTCAGGATCTGGCCTTCTAAAGAGCAGTCAGGGTTGATCTACTCTAGGACTGACTGGTTTGATCACCTTTGCAGTCCAGGGGACTCGCAGGAGTCTTCTCCAGCACCATAGTTCAAAGGCCTCAATTCTTTGGCGCTCAGCCTTTCTTATGGTCCAACTTTCACAGCCATACATTGCAACTGGGAAAACCATGGCCTTGACTATACATACTTTTGTTGCCTATTAATTACTGTATTCTAAAGCTATCAGAAACCTTCAGAAAGACAGGTTTGAAAAGTCTTCATTGGGCAAGTTTACTTCAAGCCATGAAAAACTCTGTATAATGGGCTAAGAAGAAAATGAAGAGAAATCAAATCCTGTGACAACATTTAAATGAACTAAAGATTAAACTGGGAGAAGCAAAAGGAAGGAATATAAAATTGGTTTATTTGATCAAGGTTAGAACAAGATACTGTATGTTGTTATTTCTGGAATTTCTGCTAACACCAGGATTGAGAAGACGGATGGAATATGGAATTAAGAAATAATTGTTTATAATCTTACTCGGGGTGATTACATTTTTTATACTTGCAATGAAATTCAGAAGTGACTTCTTTATATACTTCTTTTCTCTTCCTTTATTATATCCTTATTTTTCTTTTTCTCCTTTCTCTCCACTTTTTAAAAATTTAGTTTATATTAGATTTTACTATTATAAAGCAAATTCTTAATACAATTGTACTATTTTTTTTAAGAAAAGGAGTTTTTATCAAGTTTTAAAAGTTTTTTCTCTGGGGCTTAGAATTTCTTTTCTCTGATTACTATTTCTAGCTACAATTTAGGGCTGACATTTCAAAAAACCTTCCCTAAATCTCTTTTTTAAAAAAATGGTAGCCTTTTGCAATCCTCTTGGCCTGAACTGGATTTGAGGAACAAGATACATATTTTTGCTAGCAAGTCAGCAAGTTGACATTTGCCAAACCATTTGGGTGGATGCCTTCAGAACATAGTGTCCCTAAAAAGTCCTAGAGCTATCATTGTCTGACCATCTATTATAACCAGTGGAACAACCTGCCTCCAGAAGTGGTGAATGCTCCAACACTGGAAGTTTTTAAGAAGAGACTGGACAGCAATTTGTCTGAAATGGTATAGGGTTTCCTGCCTGAGCAGGGGGTTGGACTAGATGACCTCCAAGGTCCCTTCCAACTTTATTATTATTATTATTATTATTATTATTATTATTATTATTATTATTATTATTATTATTATTATTATTATTATTATTATTATTATTATTATTATTATTATTATTACTTCTCCATCATTTCTTCTGTTATTATTCCATTGGCGTAATTATAAAAGACTCTTCACCCAATTGCAGCTCAATACATCATTGGATGCATTTAAAAAAGATCTAAAGAAGGGGTGTCAAACTGGTGGCCCATGGGCCGGATGCGTCACATCCATGTCACGCTCAGCCCAGCTTCTCAAAGGCAAAAAATGACACAATATGTCATAATACGTCACATGATGCGATCGAGTTTGACACCCGTGATCTAAAGCCTGCTGACTGGGGAATTCTGGGAGCTGAAGTCCCTACAGCCTAAAATTGCCAAGCTTGAAAAACTACTGACCTATAAACTTACATTAAATTTAAATTTATATAAACTGTTTAATAGATGGCATTTGCCACCACCAAGATTAGCAAAAATGTTTAAAAACATGTCAGAGAAATGTTGGAAATGTAAACACAAACCAGGTACTTATTATCATATGTGGTGGACATGTGTTGAAGCAAGGAGATATTGGACAATAATCCACACTTGGTTAGAAAAAATGTTAGAGAAACACATAGACTATAAACCTGATTTTTTTTTACTAGGTATAATGCCAGAAAACCTGATAAACAAAGTACATATTTGATTCTACATGTGATAAGAGCGGCAAGAATTATATTTGCACAATACTGGGAGAACGAAGAAATACCACCAGAAGAAGCAATAATCAAAAATGGACAGACTTACTTTAAGGTTGAAAGAAAAAGAAGAAACAGAATATTTTCAAACTTGGGACCTATTTTATCAATGGTTAGAGAAAAGATTTAGGAATTAGGAATTTAATTTGTATTAGAGAATAAGATACTCAGACAACACGTTGTTGTTGAATAATTATTATTGAACTCTGTTAAAAAAAATAAAACTTTAAAAAAAATAAATTTAAATTTAAAAGTGCATGGAGGAACAGTGGTTAGTAAAGTGAAATGGTAGGGCTGTTTTGT